GGGGGGGGGGGGTGTAGGAGGTCCTTTTCCATACAGCTGCCCCTTAGGAGCCACAATTAGAGCAGGGAATACAGTGAGCACTGGTTGTTTGCTGATTGAATGAAAGAGTGAATGAATGAGTGAATGAGTGAAGTCCAATCAAGTCTCCAAACCAAAAGGGACCAGTTGAGGTCATGGTGTCCATCCCACTGCTGAGAAGCTGGTCATGGTCCTTCCCTTATGTCCCTCCAACTAAACTTCAGTGGTCAGGATTTGATCGCAGCTCTGGGGGTGCTCTCAAATGGGTTTTCTCCTTCCCGCCAGCCTTCAGGCCCAGTTGCTTCTCTTGCTCACCAGCCAATACCTCCTTTGGTTTCCATGAACACTACCTGCATTCCCAAAGCTCACCTCCCCTAGACCCACCCACCACACACCCGGTGATCAGGCAGATGGGGGCCTGGGTTCAGGGTCATCAGACCAGAACCCAGCTGGGCTACTCTGTGACCTTGAGTCCTGGACCTCATCTCTATGCCCAGCAGAGCCTGTGACTTAGTAGGCACTCAGTGAACATTTACCGACCTGAACTTGGGCTACAAAGAGGGAATAAAAAAATAAGAACCCTTCCTCTCTGCAGAGAAGTTGAACGAGTTAAATGAGAGAGTGAATAAAGAGCAGTCTGTAAACATGACAAGGCTTGGTAAACAGAGCGGGGGCAACACAAACATTGGCTATAACTCTCCTACTCCTTGAGATAGAGCACGCCCCTCCCCCTACTTCCACTCTCTTCCCAGGGGTAGACAGGAAAGGTGGCCTAGCAAAAGATGGAGGTTTCACCCCAGAGGGGCTTCCCACAGGCAGAGGGCGGGGATCTCTTTCCAGATCATTCCAGCTCCCAGGGACAGACACAACTACCTGGGCCCTACACCAGCTTCCCCAGCCCCAGCCCCACACTGGTCCCTCTTGTTTCTAATCCATCTGTCTGCTTCCCCACAGCCCTGCAGGTCCCACTGGCCTCCACCCCACTCCTGCCTTCAGTCCCCTGCCATTCCAGGAGGGCCCAGGAAGAAGGCAGACATGAGGTGGACAGGGAAAGATGACTCCAAAGCCAAGAGGTGCCTGGGGCATGAGGGATGCCCCATTCAGCCCCACTTTCTATAGCCTAGATAAGGAAGGTCATTCACCCCAGTAACAGAGTAGCACCTCTACCCCAGTCTGGCCACCTGGCTGCCCCTGAGGCTTTGCTCAACTCATTCCTGTTAAATGGAGTAAGACTGGTCAACTCTTAATACCTCCTCACCAGAGTCCAAAAATGCCCTGGACATTACTGGGTGGCTGGGAAGCCTTGGATAAGTCACTTCATTTCTTTTGACCTTCAGTTTTCCCCTTTGTGCAGCTACTTCACAGGATTGTTGCAAAGATGAAACCGAACTATCTATGAATAAGAACCTGGCATATACGGAGCAGGCTGTACAACTTCGAAAAGCTGAGGCAAGGGAAGTTCATGTAGCAGGAGTACGGGTAATTTCCAACCAAGAGAAGAGAAAAAGTGCTTTGTATTTGGAAGCAACAGTATTTTCTCTTTCCCTATCTTTTCAATTGTTTTCTTGTGAATATTGAAATGAGGTTACTTTCCCTTAGTAAACAGAAGGAAGGAGAGTGTTGAGAGACTCATACAGAAATTAAATATGAGCTCTGCAAGATAAAAAGAATGTGTTTGTTGCACTTCACAAAACCTGGTCCTCTGAGAGAGTATCTCAGCAAAATCCTGGGTCTTCCCGAAGCTCTCCTTCCCCCCACATTCCTACCCCAGCCTGCAGTACTGAGATGTAATGGGGGTGGCCAGAGGCAGCTGGGTGGGATACTGCCATTTTAACCATTCCCTGCACAACATACCCAACATCTCTCTCTGCACCCAGCAGGAGTGCGGAAGACTGGAGACCCCAGTCATCGGAGAACGGACCCCTCAGATCCCAGCACAGAAGCGCCCAGCCACTCCCCACCTGCTCAACTCCCAGACCCAGGTGAGGAGGACAACAGCTCTGTCTGATAGCCCAGCCTGTCTCACCCTTCTCAGGAGGTCAGAGGTGAAGATGCCAGCCTGGGAAACAGGAAGGGGAAGGATGGGCTCAAAGGAGAGGAGCCTCCCACCTCAGAGAGAAGGCGTGGGGCCACCTCCCACTGTTTACGGCAGAGCTGGCCCAGCACCTTGAGGGAGTTCCTTGAGAGGGCAGAGTTCAACTAAGTCCCCAAGTCAGCAAAGAGAGACTGTTTAGCAACACACAGCGCAGACACAAACACACAGACCACACAATTCAAGAACACCCTGGCATAGAGGCCCCTCATATCACAGCTAGCTCTGACAGAGGGGCCCTCCAGCAACACAGACAAGATGACACCACCCATTCTCCCGGCTCCATGACCTATGGAGACCACCCACCACTCCCAGAACGCTCT